TCTCATCTCCGAAGAGAGCTAAGCTCTCTGACGAGAAGGGTGTGTGTAAGCCGGGCCTGCTGGTCGTTCAAGCGAACGAGAAGGCCTTTGCAAAGCCATGAGGAGTCTTGATTGACTCGAGAGCCTCGGGAAACTACGCTGGTCGCTCCACCCTGGAAGGGAGCCAGCTGTATGATGAGGCACTGGAAGTGCCAACAAGAGATACGATCTCTATCAGTCTCTCGACAGGGACACTGGTAACTGTGTCGAAGGTCTCTGTCGACCGTGGAGTGAAGTTTGAGAGCTTCGATAGCGTGGAACACTGTTTGGTCTTAGACCTGGATGCGAGGTATGACCTCATCCTTGGCATGGCATGGCTGAACCGCCATGAGATATGGATCGACTGGAAGTCGAAAACGCTGGGTGCGTCGCACCCTGCCCCTAGTGCAGCCTTAGTGAGTCATGAACCCACCTCGGCTAGGAAGCAGAAGCGCTTTTGGCGCGACCACGAGGCCGATGCGGTCGTAGTAATGGACATTGGTATGTCAGCAATCGTTTGCAACGAGGTTGCTGTTTGCCCTGAGGGTGTACGTGGTGCGGCATGTTATCCGCTGAGCGGTGCAGGTCAGGTCAAACATCAATTGCTGGGTCCTGGTGAGGAGGAGCGCGGAGTGGCGCATAATGCACTGAGGGGTACGGATCTGGTCGATGACCTACCGCTGGGTGGCCCGAGGGTCGCGGTCGACTGCGAGTCGAGGCATCATGGGCGCGGCCCAGGGGATGCAGGTGAAAAGAGAAGGAGGTAAAAATAGTGGGTTTCCGCAGCGCGAAATTCCTTCACCTGCATCTTACGATGCTCGTTCTGGTCTATTCAAAGTGGTGGACCGTTATTTTGCACCAAGCCACTACGCGTTGCCGGTTCTCCAGGACTCGGCTCTCCCAATCTCTCGCTCTCATCTCTAGCTGTCTCTGATCGTGACTGTGCCATGGGCGAAGGAACGGCGGGACATGCCCGGGACTTCCGTGTGGTTCATCTAAACGATGCACACCGCAATACCGAGGCCGGCTACTGCAACAACTTCATCATCACGTCCAAATACACGATAGCGAGTTTCACTGTGTGAGGGGCAAGGACCTCTTGGCTCTCGGCCGAGTGTCTTGCAAAACACTGTATCCTCTTCGAGGGGTGATGGTGCTGCCCCGGTGGTGGTGACGGAGGTGTCGCCACACCGCCCTCCTCCGACCGGGCTCGGTCGCGGAGGAAGAGGAGAAGAAGACGCAGGGCGTCTGTGACGTCTTCGGCGTCAGATGAGGTGCTTAACGTGACGAGCGGTGAGGGTCCACGTGATTACTGCGAACAACGGTACACACTCGTGAACGAAGTAACGAGGGAGATCGGAGGCGACATCAGCCTTGATACTCTGTCCACTGCAGTTGCTCTGCTAGAGCTGGACAAGATGTCCATTGCCGACTTTGGCGAAGCCTTGAAGGCAGGTGAGCTAGACAAGGAGGTCCTGGTGGGACCTAAGGAGGAGTTGAACGCCGCATTCGTCGTGGAAGACGCGGTCCTAGCGGACACCAAGAAGGCGCTGAGTACAAGATGTGGATCGGTGATCCTAAACGATCCTTCAGATCTCTTTTATCCTGTGGTGAAGGGGTATGGTGATGCTGTCTCGAAGACCCACCGATGGGCCTGCCTTCGGATCGAGGCGTGAGTCATGCGATTGACCTTGTTTCTGGAACCAAATACTGCGTGACAAGGTACTGGTCTTGGGTGAGAGAGCTGTGTGACGTCATTGACGCATTCTTCCGTGCGAAGCACGAGGCAGGGATGTTGCATGAGAGTAAGTCTCCTCACTCGACACCCACGTTCTGTATCAGAAAGGCGAACGGCAAGTGGTGCACTGTTCATGCTTTTAGCAAGCTAAATGCAGCCTATATCACGGCGCAAACGCCGATTCCTCGCGAGGATGTTCTACAGAACGACATGGTAGGCTGTACGTTGTACAACGCTTTCGATTTGGTCGATGGTTACTACCAATTGCTCATGAGAGCGAGCAATATTCCGCTAACAGCGGTGAGTACCTCGAGCGGTATGCTCTGGGCATCTCTGATCATGCCCCAGGGGCTGTCGAACGTACCAGCAACGTTCAATCGTCTTGTGACGAAGTTGTTTAGGCCCCACCGGGCGTACGCTCAAACGTACTTTGACGATATATTCGTCCATAGTCGTGTTGAGCACGAAAAGTCAGACGTGGAGGGCCACATTGACCACTTGCGAGTGGTGCTCGAGTGCATGTGCACTAATAAGTTGTGTGCCAACTTGGACAAGGGCGGCTTTGACTCGGAGGAAATAACATTTCTCGGGTGCTTCATTGGGAAGCGAGGCTTACGGGCAGATCCTGCCAAAGTCAAGGCCATTGGGGACTGGTCGATTCCCAAAAACCAAAAAAGGATTTCGCAAGTGGCTAGGCTTAGCCAATTACTTGCACAGGTACAGCGCGGACTACGATGAGACGGCTCGGCCATTATCAGATCTCCTTACCAAGGACGCGTCATGGTGCTGGATCGTCGAGCACGACGGAGCCTTTGAGGCTGTGAAGGAGAGCCTTCTCCAGGCTCCGATCCTTGCGCTACCGGACCCGGATAGTCCGTTTAGCGTCGTCTGTGACGCCTCCGAATTTGCAATCGGTTGTGCTTTACTACTAGCAGACGCCGAAGGGCGTGAACGCGTGATCGCGTTTGAGTCTCGCCAGCTCAAAGCTGCAGAGAAGAACTATCCAGTTCATGACAAAGAGCTATTTGCAATGAAGTATGCTCTAGTCAAATTCAGGGTACACCTGCTAGGCTCTAAGCCTTTTGTGATCTTTATTGATAGAAAGCCACGATGGCTGCTGTACGCTACCACTCACGCGTAACCGAACACTCGAGGCAACTTGCAGTCTCAAGATCGATACCAGCAGATCATCGTCCAAACGTCGCTGAGTCACGTGCTACCGTGCCGATTGAAGGCTAGGTCATTGGAGTCTGTCCACATAGTACCCCAGACTATAATTTTCTGTGAGTACTACCAGACAGATTTGTGTCTAAACGCAAAGCGTAGCTGCTTTCGCGATTTCTATCGGAAAGAAGTGTGAGCGTTGCAAATCACAGTGATTAATACTTCGGTTTATTATGCCAAAACGTGTGTGATAAATAACACATTTTTAGTGGAATAACAACAACAGCTTCGCTTAGTGGGCTCATGCACCCTTATCGTTACCGCAACGGTCATCTAAAAAAAACAGCCTAGTTACTAAAGCGTAGTAAGGCACCGGAGGCAACTTGTCAGCTAACCGTCATGTCACGGCACAGATTCGGCATTACAGGATCAATCTTCAGTGTAGCTTAGGCAGCATTAAGGGCAGTGGTTGCTGAGAATCGGCTCTGGTTGTGCTTGTTATTGCTGAAGTTTAAGAGAGAGAGAGAGAGAGACGAGCGTTGCTGTCTCCCACGAGAGAGACTAGGCCCAGGAATGAAGAAGAATGCGGTGCTGCTGCGTGAAGGTGGCTCTTATCCTTACGCAAGTCTTTTCATAGTCTCTTACACGATGTTATAAGAACGTGTCGCTTAGAAGAAGAGCAAGATGCACTAAGAAGTAATTGGAAATTTGTATGTGTGTGTGTGACTTGCCTGTGCGCTCTACTCGAGCTTTGTTTTGAACCTGAGTTAGAATAAAGGTGAGGGTGGATCAGCCATGGCCGCCTCGATCAGTGACCTACTGCGTACGCTAAAATAATACGAACTGCGAGGCATTTTAAACATTGCCGAGACAGCTTCGTTGTTCTTCTTGCGAGCCTCGCCAGAAAGCACGTGCAACACAGACGGTTGCATCCAATATTAATTGGGATGTCAAGAAAGTTGGAGGTTGAAAAAGAATACTGCAGAACAGACTACTTCGGACGTGCTGCACAATACTGACTTTTCATAATTAAGAACCCCAGAGCAGTCATTTGTGGTAGTTTTGTATTTCATATTACGAGGCTTGTAAACTGCTTGACTTCGGAGCCCGAAATTTTATTCCTCTCGGAGGGTATTCCAAGAGTATGATTTTTTGCCGAAGTCCATAAAAGTAATGATTTCTCATATTTAGGAGCGTCCAGTCGGTCTACAGAGAGCGCCTCAAAGGGAAGAAATTGACAAGTAAAGCTGCTTCTTAAGAAGCGCGACAGCACGGCAATGGCAAAACTACCTCGACTTTGCCGGATTTCAAGCTACGTCGATCATGAATTCACCGAAAGGATTGCCAGTATTTTTTGAAATGTATGCATACAAAGCTTAATGAAAGTCGGTTTCGATCATAAAAAAGTACCGGGCATTCTTCCAGTGGTCAATTTTCTGAGGTAGTGCTTCATCCTCGGGCTAACACGTTTTGAGGACAGCACTATAGAGATTATTTATCGAGTGTGAGGACCACTCTACTTGTAAATAGTCAAGTGATACAACACAACGGTGTCGCGTCCTTGATGCGAAGCATGCTACCTACACTGCTTCAAATACATCGTCGATCGAAAGTGCAAACGTCCTATATAATCTAACTTTTCATGTGCTCTAGCAAACATTTGTTTTAGATCCAAAATGAATCTGTCGCACTTTTTGATCATCATATAAAATGATAGAGCATCATTTATGGAAGGGACCTGTAGTGCTTCAGTATGACGTTGTCCAAAGTTGCGGTGTTAGTGCGATCAGAACTATTGTGACCAGCGAGCTCGCAAATATTTTTTCAGTCTGTCCTGAATGGGTCATTCAAGTACTGTGATAAATGATTTGGTTACAACCAAGCAAAATCCCAGAATTAGGCAACCCAAGCACGTCTTACGACGAGTTAAAATTATTATATCCAGTGGTACGATAGTTGGGAGCACACATTATGTGGTAAAAAGTTTGATTTATGTATGTTCAGCATGGTGCTGATGCCACTTCGTCTGATTCCTTAGCTATGGTGTGGAAAAGCACACGATGTTTAACCTGACCGTACATCAATCTCTTCTTGGAGACCATAAGTTCAACAGCTCGCCAGCGCCGTGTGCGTTATACCGAAGCGCCACCCAAGTCCTATACCCGTCATCGGCCTTTAATATTTCATCCAGGATTGCCTTAAGCAATGATCTGAGGTCTGCATTCTCCACCATGTATTTAATCTTAGCCATTAGTTCACCAAGACCTCGCTCCTCCGCTCCGGTTTCTCCATCCTTTCCGTGTACTCGTAAATATCTTTTCGGGGTCCCAGCGTCGCTGCGCACTTCGTCAAGCGTGTGGACGAGCTCTGGCGATCCCATTGCTGACAGCGTGATTGGATTGAAGTCTCCAGTCGCGTTACAGATCGCAAAGTAGAGGGTAGCCATCGCAACAGACAGCATGAATGAGATACGCATGCTTCGAGAGAATATTTGTGGAACTAAAGCGCTTTAACCTTGGCGAACGAATAATGTCATCACTTTTCACCCAGACCGGTGGTGGTGCGCGTCTAGATTTCGGTGCGGTATTCACTACGATCCGCGATACGTACCGACAGCAGCCCACATATTTGTATTACACTTGGAAAACAGTAATCGCAGGACCTGTTTATCGAGGACTGCACCACCGATAATTTTTGATGTGGCAAAGCACGATTCCTGGGCTTTCCGCCCGAAGCTACTTTCTCTACGCTCCAATGCTATACTGTACCACAGACTGTACAGCAATGTACGTAGTCCGATGATGTACACGTTGCCCTTATTTGACTACTACAATTCCAGACGTGCCGAGTGCCGACAGCAAAATGTGCACGAGCCCTCCGCAGCAACAAGAAATAAGGCGTACGTCTGAGATCAATTGGCAATTTGTTTATGCACGTGAGCGCCTTCTGTGGAACGTTGTGTGATCATTTCGGGTGGTGGTGGTGATAGTAGGGGGGGGGGGTACTGGATCTGGACTGCATATACCTACTGTACATGTATTGGCATCGCTATTTATTACTTTGAAAGTTCGCACGTTGTCAATGATGTGTCCTAATTGGTGACATAGCGTACAAGTTATTGTACAGAATGTCTTACCATACAAAATATGTTCTGGACCCAATCCTGCATAAGTCGATACATCACCTTTTACAGGAAAGATAAATCAATGGTGCCAGGAAACTCTCTGAAGACAGACTCATAAAATTCAATCACATCTCTTTTTTCTTCCTTCTACTCAAGCTCCTCCACCTTCCTCGCCTCACCTTCAATAGGTTATGAGCTCAACGCAAGCCTCCACCGCTGACGACCGCGAGTTTCGCGCCTCAATGGCCGGAACTTCATCATCTGGAAGACCCGCGTCACTGCCGCCCTCGAAGGAAAGAACCTTTCTCGGCTACGTCGAGCGTATCGACTACACCGGTGACTCCGACTACGAGTTCGACTCCGATGAAGAGCTCAAACCGGCACTGTCCGACATGAACGACATGTCCGCCGCGCTTTGATGCTGCCGGTGCTCCCAAGGCCGACGAAATAGTGGGCTCCTCACCGAGCGAGTCCTCCTCTGATGCCACGCTCCGCAAGTTCGGATGCACCCACAGCCGGAGACGACGGCGATGTGGAAATGGGACAGGAGAATCCCCCCGTTATCCAGTCATTCACTGCTCAGAAGCGGGATGAACTGAAGCGAGCAGAGAAGCTGAGGGCTAAAAGCCAGAGGCTGAGCTCGAAAAAGCTTCGACTCAACGAGGCAAAAGCAAAAGCTTTCCTTATCAAGACCATCGATGACCAACATGTTCTCATGGTCAAGGACAAGACTACTGCGTTTGAGATCTTCCAGACGATCTGTAGCAAGTACGAAGGTGCTGCCATCCACGGCGACCCGTATCATGTGCTATCATACCTGATGGCACTGAGGTATGAAGAAGGTTCAGACCTTACGGGGTTCATAATTGACATCGAATCTGCCATGAAGGTTGCCTCCGAAGCCACAAACAGTGTGCTCAGTGACGAACAGAAGTCACTCTACTTGTACCATGCGCTACCTGGAAAATGGAAGCAGCAACTATCGGTCTGGAAGGGTAGCAGGAAATTCATTCCCTACGAAGAGCTAAAGCGTCACATCGAGGCCAAGGTGCAGCATGAACTGGCGAAAAACCGCTACACGCTCAAACAAGGAACACCCGAATCGAGGGAAACCCGAAACGAGCAGGCCCTACAGGCTTTAGCACCTGAACCAACCTTGGTTCAAGCTCCCTATCAAGAGAGCAAGGCTCTCATCTCAACGATGAGCTGTACATACTGCCTGCGCACCAACCACGATACTGTCGACTGCTATGTTCTACAGCGCCACCTACAAAATGGTCAGGTAAAGGCAGGAACGGTGCTTCCCGCCAACTTTAAGCTGAAACCTTCGTCCAATCAAGCTCGACAGCATCCTTACAAGGACGGTTTCGGCGGCAAGTCACGAAGCCAAAATCGGAATGACTACAAGAGCAAGCGGAACAGCAATCGAAACAGAAGCCAGAACGGCAACCAGAAGAATACATCTGAAAAATCCAAGAGTCACAATAAATTCCACGGTCGCCGCAAGGACACCGACTCCGACAACGAGTATGGAATCATAGCCATCACCACTCTGGACCTCAGACAAGAAACAGAGGCTGTAAGTCTCACCGCCCAAGATGCGGAGCATGACCCAGTGTGGACTGTCGACTCAGGCTGCACTCGCCACGTTACGTCCAATCCGAAGTGGTTTGAGAAGCTGATCCCAAGTGCTGGCAAGTCAATCACTGTCGGCGGCAATCACCAGATTCCGATAAAAGGAACTGGTGATGTCAAGATGACAATCAAGGACACGAAGGGAAAGGAACGAGAAATATCCTTGGCCAACGTGCTATATGCGCCCCAGCTGAAGTTCAACCTACTCTCCGTGCGCCAAGCCGTCGAAGATGATTTCAAAATCAACTTCCCCAACGCCAAGAAGTGCGTTCTGTTCTTCGCTAGCCGAACCAAATTTGAAGCCAAAATTGGTGAAGGGACTCGACTCTACCAGTTTCAAGCGAGCCCGGCAACCTCAAGTCAGGTAGCCCATGTGGCCACTTCAGGTAAGCCTGATAATGTTATACTTTGGCATAAACGAATGGGTCATCCTAACTTTCGCATTATGCAGGATCTGGCTAAAGCCAACACTGTCATGGACATGGGCCTGAAGGACTTTGATTCCAAGAAAGACTACTTTTGCTCTTCCTGCACATACGCCAAGGCCCATCGTAACCCATTCAATAAACGTACCGTTGAACGGGCAAAGTTCCCTCTTGAAAAAGTTCATTCTGATATGGCTGGTCCATTACCCGTCCCCACACTCTCGGGGTGTCAATATTTTCTGACCTTTATAGATGACTACTCACGGTACATGTTCATCTACATCATCAAGCGAAAGTCTGAGCTGTACGAATGCTATGAAGATTTTCGCAAGAAAGCACAAAACGTTTTTCGCGCTGATGTAAGCGAACTCCAGTTCAATGAGAACATACACGATGAAGAAGTTAGACATCTTCAAAGCGACAATGCCCGAGAATATGAGAAACTTGGAAAAATGATTTTTCAGAAGTACAATACGCACGCACAATTTACAAATGCGTACACGCCCCAGCAAAATGGAGTTGCAGAGAGGCGCATGCGTACACTACTCGAGCGAACCAGGGCTTTCCTCATTGATGGTAACCTACCGCAGGTTCTTTGGGGAGAATGCGTCAAACACGTTGCTGACCTTCTGAACATTACTCCCAGCTCGGTAACCGATAAGATCACCCCATACGAGAAATGGTTCAAGAGAAAACCATCCGCGCACTACATCAAAGTGTTTGGGTGTACTGCGTACGCTCACATCCCTGAGATACACCGCACAAAACTAGAACCACGTGCTAAGAAGTGCATGTACTTAGGACTCCCATCAAACAAAAAGGGATATAGACTCCTTGACACGAAAGAAAACCGTGTTATCTACAGCAGGGATGTTGTGTTTAGAGAAGACGAGTTCCCACACTTGGAATTCCTCAATACACCCGCAATCTCGGACCAAAATGGCCCCGCACCGACGCTATCACCGTCGCTACCAACACCACAATTGCTACCTCCAATAGCCTCACTACTAAAACGCAGCGTCAATGCGCTTGCCGCGGAAGTAGTAGTAAAGATGAAGAAAGTCAAACACAAAACGAACGCTCAGAACGAGAATGAACACTCGTGTCTACTTGATGATCCACTCGACATTAACGAACGAAAAGAGCACCTCACTCATATCTACGCTCTATTGGCTATCAGACACATATCTGAACCAAAGACGTTCCTAGAATCCCAGAAACTACCAGAAGCACAACACTGGGAGAAGGCAGCCATTTGTGAATACAAATCATTGATTGACAACAAAACGTGGGTCCTCACAAAACTACCGACAGGGAGAAGGGCCCTACAGTGTCGATGGGTATTCGTTGTAAAATACAATGGAGACGGCAGTATTGACCGCTATAAAGCTCGCCTGGTAATAAAAGGTTTTTTGCAAAAGTATGGCGTTGACTACGATGAGATATTCTCTCCAGTGATCCGCATGGAAGTGCTGCGACTTTTACTGACGATTGCAGCACTCCTTGACCTTGAGATCCATCAAATGGATGTTAAAACCGCTTTCCTGAACGGATACCTCGATGAGGAAATTTACATGCTGCAACCTGAAGGGTTTACTGTTCGTGGAAAAGAGCACTTAGTCTGCAAGCTTTTGAAGAGCCTATATGGTCTCAAGCAGGCACCTCGGATCTGGTATCTTACCCTGTGCTCTTTTCTTCTCACCATGAAATTCCACAAACTCATCAAAGACCAATGCGTTTTCATTGGAGTTGTGGATGGAGCTACATGCTACATTCTAGTCTATGTGGACGACCTCCTCATCATAGCCCCTACGCTTGATATCATTAACAACATAAAGAACGCTCTCAAGCAGCGCTTCAAAATGTCTGATCTCGGTGAAGCTCAATACATCTTAGGCTGGTCAATCGTGCGCAGCCGTACGGACCGAACCATTTTCATCCACCAAGAGAAGTACGCTACCAAAGTCCTGGATCGCTTCTCTCATCTTGATGCACACCCGGTTGGTACACCCGCTGATCCCAGTGTGAAGCTGACGGAGGCCATGTGCCCCCAAACGCCAGAAGAAAAACATGAGATGAAAGCGATCCCGTACAGAGAGGCAGTTGGTAGCTTCATGTACTTAATGATGGGAACTAGACCTGATCTCGCATATTTTCTACGAGAAGTCAGTCAATTCCTGGTGAACCCAGGAAAACCTCACTGGAATGCCGTTAAGAGAGGATTGAAGTACTTAAACGGTACGCGCAATCTTGGCATCACCCTTGGTGGAAAGCAAAATCTAGAGCAGTATA